TTAAACTGATGGAGTATATGGGAAGTGTCATAGGAACAAACATTATATGAAGTAATTATAGTATTTTGACATTTGTGTATAAAGTTAAAATCATAAATAATATACAACGTTAAACTGGTACACAATTAAAAACATTTTATTTAGGCCTTTCTTTGGCCTTCAAAAAGTTGACGACTCTACATGTTTCGGCGTTACAACGGCCATAGATAGGCCTAAATAAAATGTTTTTAATTGTGTACCAGTTTAACGTTGACTATTATTTATGATTTTAATTATATGAAGTTTCGTAAGTTTTGTTCGTGATTAATGAATAAATAAATGTTATATTGCACAGGAATGACACTACTATACTAAAGTTACAAGTTTTGGTTGTTACTATGACATCATGAGTTCATGTCTTCAGTGAAGACGTATACTTTAGGCACAAGAAGTTTGTTTGTTACCATGCCAACACGAGTTCATGTCTTCAGTGAAGACGTACAGTTTAGATACAAGCACTTTGGTTGTTACCATGCCAACATGGGTTTGCGTCTTCAGTGAAGACATATAGCTTAGATACAGGAACTTTGGTTGTTACCATGCCAACACGAGTTCATGTCTTCAGTGAAGACATATAGTTTAGATACAGGCACTTTGGTTGTTACCATGCCAACATGGGTTTGCGTGTTCAGTGAAGACATATGGTTTAGATACAGGCACTTTGGTTGTTACCATGCCAACATGGGTTTGCGTCTTCAGTGAAGACATATAGTTTAGGTGCAGGCACTTTGGTTGTTACCATGCCAACATGGGTTTGCGTCTTCAGTGAAGACATATAGTTTAGATGCAGGCACTTTGGTTGTTACCATGCCAACATGGGTTTGCGTCTTCAGTGAAGACATATAGTTTAGATGCAGGCACTTTGGTTGTTACCATGCTAACATTGTGAGTCGTTTCCTTGGGTAAGCTATTCTGTCACATCTTTATAATATTTGTGAGTTGGTAAGAATAATGCCCTGTAAGGATCATTTGAGTTGGGGAGGATGTTTGTTTCTCCACAATAGGATTCAAGCGTCATTCTTATAGCACATTCACAGCCCCAAAATGAATTTTTGCAATAAAGGGACGCGAGCCATAAACCTTCGGATTCACACTCTGAGAATATTATCCATTAGGTCAGGCCCGTACTTTTTCGTTAACTTTGAATTTTCAAGTGACTCATTTCAACTAAGTACAAACGATAGTCGAATTTCGTGACATTATATTCTAACTAGTGAGAGAGCTCAAGAGGAAGGTGTACTGTAACGTCTTATGAAGTTATGACACGAATAAATAATATATTTATTAACCAATTTTACATCAACTACGCGCAATTTTATCGTTTTCTGGGGCGTACCAAGCAAATGTATGTTATATATATATATATGTATTTTACATATCATTATAAAATTCTGTAATTCGACCAGAAACCTTTATAAATAAGCAAGAAGTTAAAACTGATATTTTTGTCTTTACAGAAAGTTGATCTGGCAGCTGGACCGTTCACAGTAAATGTTGATCGTCGTCGCGTGGTTAATTTTAGCGAAACTTTGTTCTCTGACGATATAGGAGTTTTAGTAAAGAAACCAGAAAAGAAAGACAATACAGAGAAACTTCTGGCACCGTTTACTTTGCGGGTGAGTACTGTACTTTTGAGCTTTTTGTTCTGGATATTATGTATGCTTTCTTATGGGTGAGATTGCTGTTAAGTAAAATACATTACGTAAAGGTGAACAGCCATATTTTACACTGGCAGGTTAGGTGATACCTTGAAGTTTAGTCCTCCTTATTTTGCTATAGGAAGCTGCTTGCGGGTAAGTGTAGCACTAAACAAATTTTGTTTATCACTTATGGACCCATTGATCTTATGAGTAAGTACAGGTCAAAAACTGACTGTTAAACACTTGTGGCACCATTTATCTTATGGGTAAGTATATGTATAAAACTGACTGTTAATCACTTGTGGCACCATTTATCTTATGGGTAGGTATATGTCTAAAACAGACTGTTAATCACTTGTGACACCATTTATCTTATAGGTAGGTATATGTCTAAAACAGACTGTTAATCACTTGTGGCACCATTTATCTTATGGGTAGGTATATGTCTAAAACAGACTGTTAATCACTTGTGGCACCATTTATCTTATGGGTAGTATAGGTCAAAACTTACTGTTAATCACTTGTGGCACCATTTATCTTATGGGTAGTATAGGTCAAAACTGACTGTTAAACACTTGTGGCACCCTTTATCTTATGGGTAGTATAGGTCAAAACTGACTGTTAATCACTTGTGGCACCATTTATCTTATAGGTAGGTATATGTCTAAAACAGACTGTTAATCACTTGTGGCACCATTTATCTTATAGGTAAGATAAATGGTGTCACAAGTGATTAACAGTCTGTTTTAGACATATACCTATGGATAGGTACATGTCTAAAACTGATTGTTAAACACTTGTGGCACTATTTACTTTATGGGTAAGTGTAACTCCAAAACTGATTGTTAAACACTTGTGGCACCATTTATCTTATAGGTAAGTATAGGTCAAAAACTGACTGTTAAACGCTTGTGGCACCATTTATTTTATGGGCAAGTGTAACTCAAAAACTGACTGTTAAACACTTGTGGCACCATTTACTTTATGGGAAATGTAGATCTAAAACACTTCATCGCAGGAATAAACCTAAATTAATATTTTAAAATATGTAATAAATAGCAGATGTTCTTCAAATAACTGCATAAGCAGTAAACAAAACTTTAATTAATGGGTTAGATATTTTAATTCCCCCGGTGGGACAACGTTAAGCATACGAACTGATAACGCTAAAATCAGGGTTTCGAGTCTCTCAGTGGACACAGCAGATAGCCCGATGAGGCTTTGGTATAAGAAAAACACTCATAAATATTTTAATTAACACGTGCATAAATAAATAGCTGCGCTTATTTTCCAAAATGATTGAAACAGTAGATTCGTATCTGGCAATTGACCAGTTGTATCGAACTTCATGTAAATCCAACTGTCCACTGCTTCACGGGGTTTACAAACAATGGGCAGCAGCTGCCACATGTTGAACCCTGTTAGGTTCAGTATATTCCCCGAATAAAACATCTCATTTAGCTACAAATATGGAACAATATTAGATACATTTTTATGACAGGATTTTTTTGAGATATTTTAATCTATCTACTCATGCCCAAATCTACTGTTGGTAACATGCTGATGCGCTAATACTGAATATAGGCCAGATCGCCGAAATAAGCATCGAGATGATTTTTGAAACATGGTGTGAAACAAAATGAAACCATACATCAATTTTAACATCCAAGGCTTTAATCTGATCTCAGAATTTAAAGAAAGACTATCCGCCGCTGTTCCTAACATTTCATGGATGGAATTTAGTCCATACAGAAATGTAGTAGGCAAATTAAAAGTCCAGGGGCCGCCTTAGGGCCATGAAAGCTTTTGAGTTTGGGATTAAGTTTTATGCATTCTCCTGCTTTTCCTGAGAATAATTTTCGTAATTCGGATGCCTTTTTACTGGAACAGATTGAAAAGTGGTGTATGACGGCGGACCTCCCGCTTCTTACGTCACTGCATATTCTGAATGTTAGACGTTGATCTTTGAGATTGTGAAAAAACAAACAAACAAACAACATTATAGGGAACAATGGTTCCCACTGTATTTTGTTACGTTCGAACAGACAGTTCTGGGTGGATTTGACGATAACATGAGACATGTTTCATCCCATCCACGAGGAAGAGTGGGATAGTATTATTGTATGAGCTTGTTTTATATTATTTGAAGTACGTACATTGGTTTTATTTAAAGGGGTCATTAATGCCTTGTCCTGTTCGAACATTCTGGAACACCTTGATGTGATGGAACTGTATGAGAAATAACCATGCTTCTGTAAGCATGATGACGACACTACGAGGAGGAAGGAAAATAGGAGTGTTTAAATATACCAAGAGCAATTTTAAATAAATACAGTGTGCGGACTTACAACGCTAGAAACCGGGTTTCGATACCCGTGCTGGGCAGAGCACAGATAGCTCACTGTGTTCTTTTGTGCTTAACTTCGAAAAATAAACAAACAAATAAATACAGCAACAATGTTTATACATGTACTACACGAGTCTTCGAATGTATCCTACATTCTACAGGAAGTATGTGTTTAAAGAAGAAGTACAGGAGTACGTTCTATATTAGTTTTGGAATATGTATTACATGTACTACACGAGTCTTCGAATGTATCCTACATTCTACAGGAAGTATGTGATTAAAGAAGAAGTACAGGAGTACGTTCTATATTAGTTTTGGAATATGTATTATGAGGTTAGTTTAGTATGTACTACAGAAATGTTTTCTCACATATGATGGAACTGATTATCAGAAATATATTTTAATATGAATAGCCAAGTTGTGTTTGATATGTACTTCAGTCTTTTAATATGAGCTACAAAAGGTTTAATATGCGCTACTGGACTCCTTTATTATGAGCTACAAAATGCATAATATGCACTAGTGTATTCCTTTAATATGAGCTACAAAAGGTTTAATATGCGCTACTGGACTACTTTATTATGAGATACAAAATACTTAATACGAACCAGTGCACTCATTTAATATTAACTACAAAAGGTTTAATATGCACTACTGAAGTTCTCTAATATGAGCTACAAAAGGTTTAATTCTCGCTACTTAACTAACTTAATAAGAGCTACAAAAGGTTTAATGTGCACTATTGGACTCCTTTAATACGAGCTACAAAAATGTTAATATGCGCTACTGAATTCCTCTACTATAGAATAACAAAGTATAACACAAGAGTGTTTTGTGATTTTTTTAAGAACAGAGCATGTTGGAAGAAACACGTAATTTGACTATTTACTAATTCCTAAAGGCATTCCTGAACCGTTTTTAGGATTTTGTTTCTAAAACGTTTCGTATTTCAATCTTTCAGGTGTGGTGTGCAATAATTTTAGCTACAATCTTTATGGGATTAACGTTGTTCGGCGTACTGTGTCTTCAGACATACCTTCTTTGTTCTGGAGAAGAAAGTGGCGAAAAATACAACTACAGTTTATCGAAATGCATGTGGTTTGTATATTCAGGGCTTGTTAAACAAGGTTTGTTTCTCTTGATACTAATAGTTATAAGTTTGTTTGTTTGTTGTTAAGCACGGAGATACACAATGGGCTATCTGTGCTGTGGCCACCGCAAAGTATCGAAACCGGATTTCTAGCGTTGAAAGCCCTCAGCCTCATTGCTGAGCATCGGGGCGCGTTCTAGTGAAATTAATGAAATAATTACCGCTCTAGGCGTTGGCTATTTTTCTTTATTGTGTATCAATTAGCCCCTCAGTGGCTCAGCAGTAAGTCTGAAACTTATAATGGTAAAAACTAGATTTTTATAACCGCGGTGGGTACATCACATATAACCCATTGGGTAGTTTTGCGGTTAAGAACAAACAAATAAACACAATTCGATCGAAACATAGAATATAGAAGTTCTTTTGTACCGAGCTGTGGGTATAAGGTTCCTTGGTTCGCGTCTCGTTATCATACATACACAAATTTCTCTGCACTTTAGAGCCGTGGGTGTTTTATAAGAGGCAAGGTCAAACCCAAACTTTCGTTCTGATAAAACCCACCCCAAGAATTAGCGGTGGGTGATATTGACTAGCTGATTTCCCTCTAACCTACCCATTAAAAATTAGGGAACAACTAGCACAGGTAGCCCTCGTGTAGCTTTGAGCAAAATGCAACAATAAACTTTTGTATTCTGTTTTTATATATAATCTAACTCATCCATATAAAAGTCTTATTCTGTGTTTATATATATAATGTAACTCATCCATATAAAAGTCTTATTCTGTGTTTATATATAATGTAACTCATCCATATAAAAGTCTTAAGAAATGAGCTATTCATTAATATTAATTTTAACTCCCTTATTTGTTTCTTTAGCAATTTTTTGTATACATAAAGCACACTGAGTGAAAGTAGCCTGTATTTCGTTCTAATTGTTCTAGAAACGTCTAAAAACACAAGTAGGAATGTACAAAGTCTCCGCATTACTTTTCTTTCTTTTTTTTTTGTTAGTAAGTTTATTTACTCTATACGGCGACAAACAGACAACATTTGAGTGTTAATTATTAAATATCCACCGGTGAGACAGCGGTAAGTCCACGGTTTTACAATGCTAAAACCCGGGGTTCGATTCCACGCGATGGACACAGCAGATAGTCCAATGTGGTTTTTCTCTAAAACGAATGAATAAAGTAGTTATTGAATTATTTCTACAAATTTATGAAAACGAAAAAAAGAGTATTAAACTCCCACATTTAGGCTTAATAATTTCAAGAATATGAAAGTGGTATTTAAATTATTATAAGCACTTTAATGTATACATTAGTAACACAGAACACTTTCCTAGAAGATAGTACGTATTTGTTTTTTGTTTTTCACAAGACAAAACAATACCATCATCAAGCACAGTTCTCTCTATAGTTCAGACAGTTTTTGCTAGGTGCTGAAGACGTTCCCATCTCCGACTCAGTAAGGATCCTCTTCGCCACCTGGTGGATGTTTACGTTACTCGTGACTGCCTTTTACACTGGGAACCTCACGGCTTTCTTGACCTCATCCGTATACAAGCTGGGTAATTCTTTAGAATCCGTACTGAATGATCCAACGACAAAATGGCTTGTCGATTACGGAAGTGCTCTAGACTCGGCAATTGAGGTTTGTATTAATAAATAGACTCGGCAATTGAGGTCTGTATTAATAAATAGATTCGGCAATTGAGGTTTGTATTAATAAATAGACACTCCAACTGAGGTTTGTTTTAATAAATAGATTCGGCAGTTGAGGTTTGTATTAATAAATAGACTCGGCAACTGAGGTTTGTTTTAATAAATAGATTCGGCAATTGAGGTTTGTATTAATAAATAGACACTCCAACTGAGGTTTGTTTTAATAAATAGACTCGGCAATTGAGGTTTGTATTAATAAATAGACTCGGCAACTGAGGTTTGTATTAATAAATAGACTCGGCAACTGAGGTTTGTTTAATAAATAGACTCGGCAACTGAGGTTTGTTTTAATAACCTAGATCAACGCGGAAGTGCAACTGTGATATTATTAAAACTGAATAAAGCATTAACATAAAACATTCACGGATAGTGGATTTCTTATGAAAAAACGTAGTGCGTCAGCAGTCGAATTATTGTGTATTGGTACGTTTTAAAGGGAACTGAATTTATATTCGAAGTCTACTGTTTCGACACTTCAAAAAGCAAAACAAAACAAAAAACGCATTTAGGGTTGTACATTGGTGGCCATCTGGCTTTGTTGAATGACCAGAAAATTACTTTGCCATGCAGTTTCTAAGGTTCTTTCAAATTTTAATTAAATGTTAGTTGCTGTTATTGAATAACTAGAAGTGTGAAGGAACAGCTATTAATGTCTGTCGTTCAGAAACATTAATGGAGCGGAAATTAAAGATTAATATCATGAAAATGTTATCCTATTCTATCCAGATTTAAAGGAAAAATAATAATGAATTGCCTCATTTCATTATATACAGACGAATGAAAAACTTACAAAGACTGCAACATACACACAAACATTAATATAATGAGAGAGTTAAATATTGTAAAAGTTAGGTTCCTGAAAATCCCTGTGCAATTGGCAAATGACAGAAATTGAGTATGTTTTATTAAAACAATTACGTCATCACATCCGGTCTTGCTATGTCTGACTACTGTTCATCTTGACAATAGTCCTACGGCGTAGGTTTGGGTGCAAAAGGCTCCGTTGTAAAGCTGGCATGTCTAAAGCTCAACACTCCTCTCTGCGTGCTTTTCATAATCCGTCTATTGGAAAATGACGAGGATTTCCTATATAGAACATACGTAGAAAACGTCACAAACGCTTTCTGGGTGTAAGCATAACTTTTAGAACCGGGCATGTCATAAGGGCGATGGGTAAGTTAAGATATTTAATTTCAAAATAAGATAAAATAAACATGTATTTTCCAAACACATGCCCTAACCTTTCACGGAAGTATAAATAGTTAAAATGAAAGTTTTTTTTTAACTGTTTAAGCATTTCTTGAAGTATGAACAAGGATAATCAACAACAAATAAATTAACAATATAAGGTTAAAAACAAAAGAGTGGATTATATCAAGTTGCCCTCCAGTGGCTCAGCGGTAAGACTGAGGCTCACACGGCTAAAAATCGGGTTTCAACACTCGTAGTGGGCACAGCCCAGACAGCCCATTGTATAGCTTTGTTCTTAACAAGAAACAAATAAACAATTATATCAACACATAATTCATATTGGTTAAATTAATCTAGTCCCTTAGAGATCTTCCAGAATTAGAAGAATGTATAATATTAGCATTCCAAACACACTGTATTTGTAATATCCATTGCCGACGACGCGTTTCTCACATCCCAGAGCTCATCAGGTCAGGCTGAGATGCAACAAACACAGCAGTGGTCGGATTGGAGGAAACGCGTCGTTGGCAATGGATATGACAAATATAGTGTGTTTGGAATGCTAATATTATACACTCTTCTAATTCATGAAAATTCCTAAGGAGCTAGATTAAAAATGTAATAGGCCTAATACTAATGTCTTATGACAAGCAAAATTGTAATAATTCTTCGCCAGCCTGTAAAAGGCGTATACACCATAACAATTAGGTTATCAACTAAACTACTAGGCAGTACGAAGATTCCTTAATTAACGATTTCATAATTCATATTACAGGCGTAGTAACAATAACCGTATTACTTATGATTGTTATTAGATTACATTATTTCAACAAAAAAATCATAAGCAAATTTCCTGTCAGAATACTAATCTTCTAATAATATTTTAATTTGAAGTATACAGACACTGAAACTTTGAGAGTAGTGCTTCAAAAGTTCAAGGAAGTTCTTTCAGACAAAACACACTACCTGGAGGTTTTAGGCCTTAGTCCTTCGCTATTTTAGGTAGTTTAAGCTTATGCTTCAGCTGTTAAGAACTAAACACTTCAAATATTTACTGGCTAAAAAAATTTGACTCTCTGGCTTATGTTTTTTTTTTCTAGTTTCCCACTGACACATCTTTTAGGCAGCTCCATGCATCAAGGTTGAAAGGAAAATGTGATACGACCGAAGGAGACGATGAGGCTGTGATTCTTGTAGAAAAAGGAGTTAAGTTATTGAATACGAAGGCTGAGTCGAAGAATATATATATATATTTTCACTCCAATGAAATACTAGATAAAGTTTGATATTTAAAAAACAGAAAACGTTAAATACAGTAAATAAATTAGTATACTTGATTTTTGATACATTCAAAACAATAACATAATTTATTTCCTCTTTGTAATTTTCATAGATTAACAGTAATAAATGTAGGATCGGTTTTAACCCTTAGTTAACAATTTTGTGATATGGAAAAAACATTTTGATAACATAATTACTACGATCAAAACTAAAATAAATTAATTTTCCAAGTCAGTTATTTCTAACCATTTCTTGGACTAATCAAGTTATGTGGAATTAAAGATTTTGCATAATTTCTGCCCTAGGGACGAATTTCTTTAGCGTGCTGTGCCGGGTCACTTTCGTACTTCCTTAATATTAAAACATCTCAACATTTTTATCTTGTCACGAGGGAAGCTGGATCATTGATAATTTTAACAGTTTAATTCATTTAAACGAGTCGCAAAATGAACAGGCCCGGCATGGCCAGGTGGTTAGGGTGCTCGACTTGCAATCTGTGGGTCGCGGGTTCGAATCCCCGTCACTCCAAACATTCTCGCCCTTTCAGCAGTGGGGGCTTATAAT